CGGCAACCTCCACCTCTTGGGTTCAAGGGATTTTCCTGCCTCAGCCTGGGCAACAGAGAGAGACTCTGTCTAAAAAAAAAAAAAAAAAAGGACTGACAAATTATTTAACAAAGTCTGATAACACTATTAGCCAAGGTGAGTGGGGGTGGATACTCTCATGCATGCTAGTGAGAGTGCTAGTTGATTTGACCTATGCAGAGAGCAGGGTAAAGGAAGGAAGTCCCTAGTAAATGGGATTGTGGAAAGGCTTACATTTTTATTTATTTATATTTATGTTTATGTTTTTTGCGACAGAGTCTCGCTCTGGAGTGTAGTGGCACAATCTTGGCTTGCTGCAACCTCTGCCTCCCAGGTTCAAGCAATTCTCCTGCCTCAGCCTCCCGAGTAGCTGGGATTACAGGTGCCTGCCATTATGCCCAGCTAATTTTTGTATTTTTAGTAGAGACAGGGTTTCACCATGTTGGCCAGGCTGGTCTTCAACTCCTGACCTCAGGTGATCTGCCTGCCTCGGCCACCCAAAGTGCTGGGATTACAGGCATGAGCCACTGCGCCCAGCAAAGGCTTACATTTTTCAAGGGGATCTTACAGTGGCAGGGAGATGAAGCATAGATGGAATTTGCTAGTCCCAAACTGAAAGAAACCCTGGTTATACTGCCTTGGGTTCCCAATGGCAGCTGACTGAGCCCAGGAAGGATCTTGGGGTCCACACACCCAGAAGGCTCTGAGTGTTGGAGGTTCATTGCTTCTTGACATCCGAGTCCTGGTGGCAAACCTCAGAGCTGCAGGTAGAATGATAGGGAAGTGCTTTTTGAGTTCCTCTGCGATCACCCACCATAGCACCTTTGCAGAGGAACATCACTAAGCCAGATGTGGAGCTCAGAGTTTCTTGCTCTTTGTTGCCTTAACACTACCTTGTCTCCATAAAGTCTTGTTTTACAGTTTTGTTGGGGAGATATTCGTGTGTGTGTGTGTGTGCGCGTGCACGCTTGCATGTGTATTTACACTTTTTATACTGAGGTTTAACATCAATATCTTGTTTTAGCCATATCTTTCTGTTGTTGAATGAAACAAGATGTGTAAGAGAGGGCAATAATAGAAATTGTACCTGAAAATTGCCATTTATCCAAGTGGCTGTGTTGCATTTGCTTATCAGTCTTCCCAGAACTTCAGTAAGGTCATACAGTGGAGAATATGCAGAAATAATAGTCAAATAGAATACTGTGATAAAGTGAACTTTCTCTCCAATGAGTTGCAGTGCTTGATTTTGGAGGCTTTGGTTACCCATTGAGGGTTTTTGGCAGGTTTGTAATGGGATATCTGTATTTCAGAGAGGTAATTTTGAGCCAGCATGTGGGATGGATGCAGTGAGTGCTGGACTGGCAATGGAAGACCAGCAATAGCCAGGTGAAAGACTGGGATTGGAGGCCTGAATTGCAGCAGGGGAGATACAAAGTTAACCCAGGAGTGAGAGACAAACTGCAGAACTGTTAAGAGTCTTGATGACTGATTGACTGTGGGAGATACAGGGGAAGAAAAGGATCACGAAGAAAAGCGCAGCTTTGCTAACTGGTTGGATGCCCTCCCCAGAGTCGGGGCAGACAGAAGGAGCAGCGTGGTCAAGTGTTGGGGGGCATGGAGGTTGGCCAGGTGCTGAGTTCAGCCAGGGGCATGTTGATTTTGAGGCACCATCTACACATAGAACAGGCTGGGAGTTTCCCAGGACTTACTTGCACAGTGGAGTTATCCATTTCTGCACAGTGTGTGAACCATTTAAAAAATAATTAAAATGGATCACAAAAAACTTTACTGGACTAGATATTGGTCAATCTCCTCAAATAGTGGATAGTTCTAAAACCACTTTCTGGGGAAGGTATATTTTTCTATACCTTCTTGTATACCTATTTGTTACCTTTCAAACAGGGAAGAAAAATTAGAAGAGATTCAGCAACCAGCGTTAACTTCATAGAATGGTAGCCAGAAGCTATAACCATTAATTGGTAGCACATTCATATGTAATTTCTCCCTACTGAATAGAACTCATTCCTTTACTACTTTCTGGTGCAGATGTTCCAAAATAATGCACATAACAGTTTTTGTGCTTTCAGAATGGGCAG